AGAAGCCCGTTTATTAAGTGAGAGACATTTATGCTTGTACCTGCATAGGCAAGTTGCTCCTGCATAGGCAAGTTAATCAAAATGTGATGGGGTATGTAACCAATTTCTCCTTGCAAGGCAAGGACACAGCCAGAGAAATACTTCTGGATGTGCTTTGCAGATGTGCAGAATCCTATCACTGGGTAGAAACATACAAAGACACATAATAATCTTTCTCTGCACATGACTGCAATCATTATGAGGATACATCTCTGTGCAGTCATAGACTTTACCCACATGCTTTCAACTATTTTGTACCAGCTTTTAGTACCTATTTAATGTATTTAATATTAATAGGATTATTGTTACAGCATTTTAAAATTGTAAACATGCTCAAAAATAGGGTTTGCTTCAAAGCACAATTTTTCAGCATGGTCTTTTCTCATGGGATTAAGGCACTAGATCATATACAGTTGATGACATCTACACTATTGGATTTTAATTATTTACTTTGGTGATATATGTCGCTTATTTAAACTACTGATAAGCTCCCATCATATCTTAGTATACAGTATAATTACTAACAGCTAATTTATTCACTCATACTATAAACTGTTGATAGGGCCTATATACCGTACATAGTAGCTCAGCAAGACAGTCAATTTTTTTTTTTGATAAAGCCCACTTAAGAGAGATTACCATCTCCGTTTTATTTAAAAATAGAAATGTTGTTAATTCTCTCTTAATGTTGCTTTGACTTATGTAAAAGTCAGCTCTGAACACTTTCAGATGATGGGGGGAAAAAACAGATTAAATTAGTAACATCCATTGAAGAGGGAATACTTGGAATCCTGATGAATACAAATGACTCATGAAGGTTAATGAGGTTCAACATGAGTTTAAAAGAATAGAATGAATATATTTGGTATGTACAGAACATTCTCCAATTTATCCAGATAACTTTTCAAAGATACATTAGTGCGAGCTAAATTAACTTTTTTTATTGTCAATTATAAAATATATCTTTCTTCTTCAATTAACTATCACATATCCTTAGTCCCACTCAAGAAAAGTTCACACAATAAAGTAGACAAAAGTGAATACCTCATCAGAAATATCAGTCTTTGCTTTTTATAAAGAAAAATAAAGACTTTAAACAAAACATAGAATTGCCTCAATATTTTTCTGCAGGGCTTTAAGATAGTTTGCATCCAATCGAGCCCGTGCATGTATCTTAATTTTACTAATTTTCTTCCAGGAAGTTGCCTCATTTATATTTTAGAGTATAGATGGCTAAGATGAATTAAGCCTGTCCATTCCTATTATAATTCAGAATTGCATAAACTTCCAAACTGAAAATTAAATGGGCTGAATATCCCTACCCAATTAAAAGTCTGTAACAAGATCAGCCCAATTCCCATTAGAGGTTTTGAACAAACCATAATTAAACCATCAATGACGGCTGCTTTTGCCTAGAGCAAGCCAAGCGATCCAGTCCACAGAATCTCAATTTTAAATCCGAACAGCTTGATTATTTTGAGTGTCATATAAAATAATTTTATCAAGCCATTCTGAGGCAAATTCTAAACTTTTCCAACCATCCATAGAGCAAGTTTACTCATCTTACTCATCAACTCCATCTGGAAAAAGCAAAGAGCAATATTACATTCGCATATGGAAACAGATTTGATGGGATGCTGTTTTACTTTTGCAGTTTTCAAATTCACAGTCTTTTATGGCCTAATGTTGCATCAAGAGTGAAATTATCCTCAAAGGATAATGACAGGAAGCAAAATGTGAATTGCATAATGGTGCAGGGGAGTAGGTCTATGATTTCAAATCTACAAAAGAACAAGTTACCTGCTATGAATATTTTTATCTTCCAATCGTACAGCAAAATTCCCAGAAATTCTTTTGGGGTTGCAAATGTAAAAAGTGATCAGATTCCAAATTATATTACTAAAAAGAAATTTAGTTTTCCTCTCGCAAAGTACAGTGGTGCATAACTTCTTTGAAACTCATGGAATTTGGTGCTCAACACATAAGCTAGAGCTTGTCATGTTATGACTCACTACATTATTCCTTATGGGAAAAATCTGTTTGGTACTCATTGTTTTTGGTACACATTGCTTTTCCCAGAACCAATTAACAGTAATACCGAAGTACCATTATAGCTTGTGACACCCTGGTTAAATACAAGGAGTGCAATAGATTTTAAGCAACTATGTTGTATCTTAACTGCTTTCCTACATGCTCATTTATTTTAGAGTTCTCTTTATTAGAATTGTATTCAATAAAATTTACTCTTAAACTTGACTTCTGAAGAAGCTATAGCTTCTGATACAATCATGATTATAAGAGTATTTTATTTATTTTTATTTATTTTTAATTCTGCCTTTATTATTTTTATATATAACTCAAGGCAGCAAACATATCTAATACTCCTTCCTCCTTCTGTTTCCCCTATAACAACAACCATGCAAGGTGAGTTGGGCTGAGAGAGAGTGACTGGCCTAAAGTGTTTGTGCCAAGGTGGGACTAGAACTCACAGTCTCCCCTAGCAAGGTGCCTTAGCCAAACCGGTGTCAAGGAAATAACATATTATTTTTATATGCTATTACTTTATGCTCTTCAAATATGTTCAACTGAAATCCCTCTAAAGTAATAGCTATGACCAAATGTATGTTTAAATTTATAATCAAATTTAATAATTTTATAATAAGTATGACCTAACTATTATACAAAATTCATACTAATTAACAATCATAGTAAGAAATCAAAACAGCAATCATCTCAATTTATCTATAATTTTAGTCATGTCTTCTAAATAATGTCTTCTCTATGTCAGGGCTGGGCAATTAATTTTCCCAAGGAGCCACATGAGATTCTGGGACTGTTGTAGAGAGCAGCCATTTTCCAGGCCTCTCCACTATCGCTGCACCACCACTGCTACCCATCCCATCATAGGCCAGATAGGGACAGTCGAAGTATCAGACGTGAGTCCGCAGATCATGAAATTCCCATGTATGTTCTGTGTCAACTGAATAAAGACATAAATCTATTTTGGAATTTGAAACATTCTTTTCAAACATATGAGTGACCAAAGAGTACCCATTCAAGGACAATTGCTAGAAGTAATGCTTACAAAAAACTAATACAATTTAAATAGCTTTTTAAAGAACAAAACTGACAAGACTATATGCAATGCAAAAAGAATAATCCCTTTAATGGTGGCAGACTGCTATGACATTTTCTTTTTTAAAGCAAATATGGCGCCAAACAATAATATGCCCTTATCATTTAATTTTGACTGAACTATTTACCAGTCTATTGTCAAATTCTGCACAGTGTAGCATCCATCCTGTGGTTGAGAATGCAAAGATAGCTGCAAACTATATTGTTTCTTTCTATCATATAATATATGTGGGTATGTGCATAATTTTTATTTATTTATTTCTGTCATGTTTTTGTAGTGTATGTGTGTGTGTGTGTGTGTGTTGTAATCCTTTGAGAACTGATGCAATGTAATTTAATTTTAATGTATGCTGATTAGTGTACATTTAAAGTGACAATGAAGATATTCTCTGTCTAAGATCCTGAAATCTTTTTGTGACACCACAGCATACTAGCATCTGTCCACTGAGCATCAAAGAGTTACCTTATGAAGTAACAATTCCCTATTTTTCTCTTTTATGACAAAGCAGCACAGAAATATTTCAATTGAAATATTTCCCAATCTGATCGCATCCATTTGCCTGAAATTATGATGTCCACAGTCCACCGCTCCTCTCTTCATTTTTAAAATATTGTGGCACTAACTTCTGGTTTACCCAAATGATGATAGCCAACACTATTTCACTGATCATCATGTTATACCAAATACTCACATTAGACAACCTTCCCTTTCAAATCTCAAGAAAGGATCACAGTCTGGGCAAAAGGAGAAAGTCAGTGAGAAGCTTATAATTGATCTTCCTTGGTCAGTTCCATTGTAACAGATGATATTGCCACTCTCATCTGATTCTCCCAGTTTGTTTGAGTATTGTATTGTAATCTTGCTCAGAATCAAAATAAATTGCTCACAGTTGCCAGGAAAAGAAACTTAATTTTCTGCACATGGTTGGCTTGACGAACAAGAAACTGCTCTGTTACTACATATTTTCTACAGAATTGTGTTGGAAATTTTTTAATTTTGACTTTAGATCACTGTTACTCAGAGGCTTGACCAATATTAGGTCAAAGCTATATCTCTCACAGGTATCAACTGGTTAAACATATGTCTTAAAACTGTATTTATTAGATAATGGAAGAATTACTAATTCTTAAGAATTATGGTTAATAGTTTGGTAATTCCAGAAATTATACACAGCAGGAGATAAGTTATACTTAGAGCTACTGGAAGTACGTAACTGAAAATAAAATTTCCATGAAGTCATGTCCAAGTAGTGACTACTTGGAAACATCCATCTTTTTTATCAATAATATAGAACTGATTTCCACTGCCTTTTTCATGGATTGGGTTTTTGATCTTCCAATCTAGTCTATAGACCCAAGTAGCCTCCCATTCAAGTACTAACTAGAGCTGACCTTACTCTGCTTCTTCAAGATCAGTTGGATGCTTTGTCAGCTGTATTTTTCACAAATAAAAGCCTTCATATTTGGTATTGATGGGAACCACTACTTTCCTTAAATGACAGTCCTGCATTAACATAAGAACTATGCACCATGCTACTCAAGACTGTGACAAGACTACAAATAAGGACTTGTATGAATGTACGTTGGTCAATATTACTACTTGTCCTGCCATTCAAATTCCCTAGAGATATCAAAATAAATAACATGGAAAGGGAATGAAGACAAGGCTAAAACCCAACATACTGGTTTCATGTACATAATTTTTTTCTGTTTGTTTCTTTATAAGTAAAGCAATGATGATGATGTTTGTGTGGCAAACTTTAGCACACATACCTCTCATTTGCAAAGTAAAAGCCCCTAAAGTTATAATGTAAGAAAAGGTTTACCTCCATTTGCATCACAAGTTGCAATTTCTCTTTGTCTTTGCGCTCAACGCATCGCTGAAGCTCCTCTATCTCTGACATTACAGCACTGTGGTTTAATTGTGCTCTTAATTCCCAGATCTGTTTCTCCATCTCTTGCTTCTCGGGATCAGACCTCTCAACAACTGGAACACATGATACAATTTAGGATCAGAGCAAACCAAGAGGGAAAACAAGGCTCCTTCTAAACAGAATTTTTCTATGGAGCAATATAGTTAATGAAACATTTAAACATATGTTTCAACATATGCGTGTCTATACTCCATCAACTTGATTTCCTTTTAGTTCCGTGCTATTGCCTCCTTTGAATGACATTTTGGAACATAATGGAAAAACTGATTTGGGACACTGCTGATAGGGGAGTTGCCTTCTTCAGAAGTCATCTCTAACTCCATGATAACAATTAGCTTTTTAAATATTCTCATTCACCTTTTTCCAAGTCAGAAAAAAGAGAAAGAGCTAGTACAATAACAAAAGCAAGGCCTAGAACATATTTCTGCTTTATGTTTTTCTAGGTGGAGACATCCCCAGAGAGATATTCTCAAGGAGGGATATTTTTAAATCTAATTTGAAAGAGGCATTGAAGACGAGAAAAAGCAAGATTTTTTCAATTAAGGATACAGTTAGTTTTCCACCCCCCCACAAGTTTCTGCTTGAGATCAAATCACAACTGAACTGAAATCAAGAAAGGATTCAAAAAGGGAGCCTCTGAGCTGTGAGAATCATTTTTTTCCAGCTAAATAGCAAAGGACCAAATTGTGGTCCAGAGTTGATTAGTCCCTCTAAAGCTGCCCCGTTTCTCAATGAAAATGTTTTCATTTTCATATATAGAAATATATAATACAGATTAGAGAAAGATAAAGAAAAAGGATTTTAAGATATAGTACAGATAAATAGTAATTTTTGATAAACCAGTAATTTTTGATTCTCAATGCCAGGATGACATAACTGCTAGAATCACAATGTTGGACAGGTGGGGGAGGAGGGGAGAAGACAAAATGTCTACCTGTGAGCTCTGCAGCCACAGGCCTCAAGAGAAGCCAACAGAATAAACAGACGCCCCAAAGCCCTGCTGTAAAAGAGGCAACAGGAAAGGAGGTTGTAGCTGCAGAAACTGGGTTGTGCAAGGTATCTCTCTTTCTTTCCTCAGACCTGATCTGAGATCCTTTTTCCCCTCAGCTGGAACCCTCCTTTGAAGGAGGAGAAAAGGAAAGGGGCCCAACCAGGAACAATTCAGCAGAAAAGGCAAAGCAGCAGAAATAGAAACCAAAAGATAAAGGACCAAATGAATGAAAAATGCAGCAATACATCTAGAAAGAGTGCCAGTACATATAGAATTGTATATAAGAGAAATATAGATATTAGCAACACAGGAACAGAATAGAATAGAATAGAATAGAATAGAATAGAATAGAACAGAACAGAATAGAATAACAGAGTTGATAGGGACCTTGGAGGTCTTCTGGTCCAACCTCCTGCCTAGGCAGGAAACCCTACAATACTTCAGACAAATGGTTATGGTTATATACAGTATATACAGTACAGATATACAGGAAATATACCGTATAGATCTAGAACAGAGAACAGAGAAAGATAAAGAAGTAGGATTTTAAGATATAGTGCATATAAATAGTCTACAGAAAATAGATGGTGAAACTGTAATATACCAGGAATACTGATTTTGGAATAGGAAATTAGTATAAACTAAGAATAGGATTATAGCATCAATATAGATAGAATATCAATAGTAAAGTATTAGTTTTATAAAATAGCAGAAGGCATTTGTAATTTACAATTCCCTTTTTGTTCACTATTGTTGGTTGTTGTTGTTATTGTTGTTTTTAAAAAAAAGTTTGCCCTAGTCATGAAGGGAGATGCAAAACAAAGCAATTGTACCAGTTTCCAGTCCTTTTGTGATGAGTCTGAGTCAATCTGATCATTTGCAGTTCAAAAAAGTACCCGCAGCATACAATTTGCTGATTGCATTAAGCAAACAAATGGGTCTATGGTTGGCAGGGTCTGGACTATTTCCTTTGTTTTTATAAAAATAGATGATAGTGGCATGGTTCCAAACAATATAAAAATGTGCTGAACTGCTAATACGGGTAAATAAGACAGCCAACACTGGAGCTCACCAACCTTTTTTTTCCTTTTAGTAATTCTAAGGATAAAATTTTCTGCCAGAGGTCTTTCAGGTTTTAGCTGTATAATAAGGACCTTGACCTCAGCAAGCTAATCAGGAACAACACTTCAAGAGTCAGCCACAAATGGATTACCCTTTGATTCCACTGTGAAAATATTCTGGCAATAGTTTTCCCATGCCTCTCTGTAGCTGTTAACTAAGTGCCAGAACCAAGCATGGTTTTTAAGTTTAACAGCTGGAATTAAATTATCCCACCTGAATGGGATCCTCACAGCCCATAATCCAGTTTCAGCAGATCTAAGACTTCAGATGCCTAGAATAAATCCTCACAGCAACCCTGAAGATTTAGGGAATCTAACTATACTGATCTGTTCAATGCCAAATGAAACAAAGGCTAAAATCAACCAAGCATAGTTGATTTATTGCCTCCATCTACTGCTGTATGAGATGTTAGAATGCAGCCATACAGCTCTTCCTGACATGAATAGCAAACAGAAGTCTCTTCCATAGCTCATACATACACTTTTGTTTGCCTCTCAATTTTTTATTATAGTCCCACAGCAGGAGATGCAAAGAGTAGATTATAAAATACTAGCAGGTCCCATAATCTTTCAGTAGCCTATAAAATATTAGCATTTTCCACTCATTTTTTAATCTCAAAAATTGTGCAATATGTTTTCCATAACTTAAATTGTGTCTCCTTTAACTCTCAGTATTTTTTTAAATATATCAGTGTCATAATTTTACAGCACCCCTGCAGAGTAATGAGTAAAAATAAGTTGAGATGGTGAGCATTTACATGCTCATTTTTAAAAAATATTTTTCTCTGTGTGATCTGGGTTTAGCATTATTTATCTCTGCCCCTTGGCAAAATGTAGCTTACCATTCCAAGTACTAAGATTTTCTCTTCGGAGTAATGGTTACCAAAGGTAGAAGGAAAAGTCCTACCTTTTTGCTTCCTCCTGTCATCCTGCTGCTCATTTAGATGGCTTTGGTGATGCTTAGAAACCTGAGATATTTGATGTTGCAGAGTCGAACGGTCCTCTTCTGCTCTAAGAAGTTGGGAACGAAGATCTTCAATCTAACACACACACATACATATACACAGACAAGTGCCAGCTTTTTAAACAAGCTAGAAAATTTCAATCAAATCTGGCATTGTATCTTCATGGATTTTATTAAAGCTTTAAAGGACAGAAAGGCACAAGCAAAATGAGACTCTTATCTATTATCCATGAAGTATAATTAGTAATAAATGAAATACATGCAATATTGATAAATGTTCCATATTTATTTATTAAATTTTATTTGCCACCTATCTTGCTGTGGGGCTACTCTAGGCAGCTTACAATAATAAAAAGGAAGAAAATGAAGAGCGTAAACTGAAGTAAAATAATAACAGCACCATAAAATAAACAATGAAAAAGAACACAATGAGAATACTTCCATATGATAATAATCATATGTAATGATGTCATTAGACATTGACCACTGCTTGTAGCAGTAGCATCTGACTTGGAATTTAGGAGAAGCAAATAGTAAAGAGCATGAGTTAATGAATGAACTCAAATGAAAGGAATATAGATTTACTGTATGTTTGTGAACCTAAGAAAAAGGGAATGGATATAATAGATGTGAATGACAATGGTATAATGTTACAGAGTGGAGAAACGGAATGTTTAGATGTCCCAAAGGTGCTTTTTCCAAAAGGTAACGGAACTTGATGTTTTTCTTTGAAAATGTTCCAGTTTTGAAGAAGCTCCTTGGATAAGAAGTGAAACATTTTAAAGAAGAAGAAAAAAAGTCCGGTTGCCTTTTGGAAAAAGTACGTTTGGGACAACTATGACCTGGATGATTGTGAATCTCCATAGACATGAAGGTGTAGGTTTAATTATGACTGAAAGGACTAAAATACTCTATATGTCAGAAAGTATGATTTTATATTATCCTGATAGTTCTGGTACATATGAAAGCAGAAACTCATGCATTATTAGTAGTTGTATATTATGCTCCCATTAACCGTAATTATGGAAAAATGGATGAGTTTGGGGGAAAATTACACCACAATCTGAATGAATGCAATCCAGAGGACAAATTTGTTTCAAGTGACATGAATGTATGGTGGGGACAAGATGAAAGGGTAAAGAAAAAGTTCCAGGGTTTAGAGCATAAGATTGGTAGTTGGGGAAAAATGTGGACATATAAGAAAAGTCGGGGGGGGGGGGGAAACACATGTTCCTGTTGAAAGGAATATTTTTAAATGAAATGTTAAGATGACATAAATGGTATATGGAAATGACTGTGGAATATATCTCATGAAACAATAAACATCTGAACCCAGTGGAAATAAAATACTATGTGTGGTAAACCAACAAGAATCAGGATCAAGAAGAATGGGTTTAGTGAATAATAAAAAATGCAGAAAAAATACACGTACAAGTAGTCCTCAACTTACACCACAATTGAGCCCAAAATTTCTGTGAAACATTTGTCAAGTGACAAATGCCCCATTTTATGACCTGTCTTGCCACAGTTGTTAAGCGAATCATTGCAGATAATAATCCAGTTGTTAAGTCAATCGGGCTTCTCCATTGACTTTACTTGTCAAAAGGTTGCAAAGGTGACCACATGACCTTGGGATACAGCAATGATCATAAGTATGAACCAATTGCCAAGCATCTGAATTTTGATCACATAATCATAGGGATGCTACAAAAGTTGCAACTGTGAAAAATGGTCATAAGTCACTTTTTCCAATGCCATTGTAATTTTGAATAATGACAAAATGAACTGTTGTAAGTCAGGAACTACCTGTATGATAGAAGAATATTGAGATAGCTCAGTTGTACAGACAAAATGGATAAAGACCAAGTGGCAAAACTAGTATGTGAAGAAAGAATGGGTGTTTTGAAAGAAAAGTCATGATTGGGCAGAACTGAGGAGATTCTCAGAATCTTTTGTTTAAATAACAAAAGGTAATACATGAATCAGTGTGTAGATGTGGTGGAAGCAAGGATGAATTACAAAGATAAAGAGTAAGTTATTAGCTTATCTTCTGCTATTATTTCCTTTTCCCTGTTATTTCTCATTATTTTTCTACATTTTGTGTACTGCTGTTTTACCTAAAAAGGAATAGTGTGATGGATTGACTCTTCCTGCCTATACCATTTTCCTATTCAAAATAATTCTCATCTAGCTACTGTTTTCCTGGAAGGTGGAAAATACACATCAAATTGTTATATATCTAATAATGATTATAAGTGCAGTACACAAGATTTTGAATGGAAAAATGGAGGCAAAGGTTTAGTCATATTGCTGGAAAAACAAAATTTTACCAAAAAGAAATGAGATACTATAAGGAATTCATTTTCAAACTATAGTTTCTTTATGTAAAGCGCAGCAAAATATTACAACTTCACCACACATGGGAAAAAATGTCCAATGTGTTAATTTCTTTAATTATAACATAGGATCTTCTGCATTCTTTCAAAACATATCAGAATGTGTATATTAGGAAGCCTGAGGTTTTGAATTAGCACATTAAATTAATGTATCTTGAGCAATAAATAGAACATTTCAATCTGTATTATTTATTATGCTACTTTATTTTCAAACACATTAATCTACCATTTATATAATAGATACTCTGTATGGGTTTGAGAAAATAAGCGAACAAACAAAACCAAATCAAAAAATCAAACCAATTAAGATTAAGAAAGCTTTTTAGATGACCAGAGACTGTCCACCTTTCTTAAAACACAGCTTGTTTTAATAATATCAATTAGAGCAAAGAGCAATTGCAACATAGAATACCTCCAAGAAACAAATGCTTTGAGTTGCAGCAAACTAAAATGTAAGAAATTAAATATGTAAATGACACATGCACTGGTATTCTGTATGGTAGCTTTGTACAATCCTTGAGGAATGTACAATCCTGTACATTCTAGTCCAAAAATGTACAGTAGAGAACTATTGAAAATGGAAAACAGACAGCTGGTTCAAATCCCCATGTAGTCATGAAACCAATTTGGTAATCTCAAATCGAATGCTCTCTCCTTTTAAAGAGTCCCATGCTGAAGGATAAAGATACAAATGCAAAACAATAAACTAAATCCCTTTTTAGGGACACTTTCTTTAAAAACTGGAGAACGCCTTTGGTAGGTTGGTGCCATCTCATAATGCAAAATAAGACCATCTTTTTCTGTTATATATTTCTAGGCACTTTTTTTGACATATTTAATTTTGTAATCTAACTTAGGACACAAGCTTCTGAATATTTCCTCAGCACATCTCATCCCAACTGTCTGCTGAGTTGATACAAATTTTATGAGACCCAAATATAGCCAACTGTTAAAACAATTACCTGGTGGAGAAGAATTTCTCTATTACTTTCTGAATGATCCAGTTTCCTCTGGGAATGCTCCAAAACCTGTTCAAGCTTAATAAAATAAGAAACAATTTCATTGCTAGTAATATTTGGGTTATACTTATTAAGTACCATATTTAAATAATTTGAAGTTATTTGAAAGTTTTATTTATTATGCAATACTACAGGCAATTTAAAAATGCTTTTTATCTCAGTGGTATCTTAAAGCAAATGATCTGTTTACAGACAGGTATGTCTCTGTCTGTCTGCCTGCCTGCCTACCTAATTTATTTGAGGCCTATATTATGGATTTGGAGATTCTGAGCAGCATTGACTTTTTTTTAACATTCTATTACATAATTAAGCTGTTACAGCATCCCCTGCTATTGAGTCTAATGCATTTTTAAATGTGGTTTAGTTCCTAGAAATCTCCTAGTCTTCCGGATAGGAGGGTAGGATATGAACAGTCAAAATGTCAACATAGAACGCAGAATAGAAAAGAACATTGTATATGACTACCAACAATACAAAAAGAAAGAAAGTGCAATGCTCTTACAAAATGACTGATATTAATAATAATATTTTTTTTAAAGGAACAGTGCCTCAGGATTGATCTATGATTTTCAAGGCACAATTCATGCTAAAGCCAAAACTTCAAATAGCTTGGATCTTATTGTAACCACTAAGAACAAAATGACCTCTTCCAATATTCTCTTTTGAAGAGTATCTAAAAATAACAGTTGGTACGAACATGTGGCAGCCAAAATAATACAGTATGCTTTTTATTATTATTATTAGTAGTAGTAGTATTATACAATTGTATCACAGCGGCCAGTTGTTTCGCCGGATTTGGCATTGGTTACTAGTCGGGCCCCACCCAGGGGCCTAGGACGTCGTAACGTATTTTCATAATATGCGTGCAGATCCAAGCAGTGGGGCTTTTTGCATTTGACTGATGGTGATTTTGTCAATTTTTAACTGTTTTAAATGTAATTCCAGTGCTTTTGGAATAGCACCCAGTGTGCCATTATTATTATTATTATTATTATTTATTGTTACAAAAAAGAAAAAAAATAGTGTACAAAAAAAGAGGAAAAAGTGGTCAGTTAAACTTAACATTTAATATATAGGATCCACCCTGGCTGGGTACTGAAAGAAAAGAAAAAACAGTAAATTATCTTCCCCTTTGGCATATATACACACACACATATTCATACATACATAAATACAATATATATTTATATTATATTCATGTATGTATGTACTGTATGTACCAGTATGTATGTATGTACCGGTATGTATGTATGTATGTATGTATGTAGGTAGGTAGGTAGGTAGGTAGGTAGGTAGGTAGGTAGGTAGGTACGTAGGTACGTACGTAGGTACATATGTATATAGAAATAAGAAGAAAAAGCAGTCGACAGGTTGAGCTAAACATTACACTAATTTTCAAATCCCTCGGTTAACCATCTGTTATTACATAGAAAGTCCACAAACAGTTTCCAGTCTCTTACAAAGCTGTCTAGTCAGTTTGCTTTTTCCTAATGATTTCACTTCATATTTAAACTGATTTGCCTGGCTGCTCATTTACAGATCCAATATAAAACACTGTACATTATCAACCATGTATATTATGAAGATGCATAAACCTGACCATCAACTGCATTCATCTTCAGAGGCACTACTTTATATACCATTGCTCAAAGAATTTGGCAGAAAGATGAAAAACCATATTTTTAGTGATGGCTCTTTATAGTTCTCCCCAACAGGGATATTTGGTCTGCTTTCTTCCACCAATTTTAATTCTTGCATGCATGTACATAAATTTCAATTATTTAAGTTTCTCAGTTTTAATGATACTTAACTGGTTTAAACCAAACTTAAGTTCAAATGATGTTGAAATCATATTCAGTTTGAAGCTTACCCATTACAACTTTAATTTCTTAAATTGTATGGGGCCAAAAACTGTGGAACCTCCTTTATATGAAGGTACAGATAATTATCATTGTTGTTCCACTTGTGCCACATTCAGAGCCCATTAGTTTAGACAATAAACAAAGGGTTTTCTTTTTTTAAAAAGTTGCAATATTTAGCTTTGAAAACCAATGGGAAAAGAAATATATTTTGTCTTGTTTAGAGTCCCTTTTATAAAATATGTTGTGAACTAGGTTTGAGAGATAATTTCAGTCTGAAGCCCAATTTCTCAGTTCAAATCCCCTTTATAAGCAGAATGCCATGATGAAGATGGGGCAACAAATAGCAAGATCCGCCATAATTCTGATTACACTTCATTAGCTGATTGGTGAATGCTTGCCAGGAAAATAATTATTCTACTTGGAGAGATCTCCCGATGTAATTTAGAATTATGATCATCCAAAGTTCTGTGGGGAGCTTACATTAGTAGAACAGATGCTTCATGCATACTATCATCATCAGGCTGAACACATGGCTTAACATTCCAACAAAATGCCTTCCATACCAAAATCCAGCATATGATGAGGAATTGTTTCAGATCAGTTTTCCTCCCCTACTCTTTCTATATTTTAAGATTTTTCTACATCTTAACATGAAAAACATAAACCACAACTATGTCATCTGACAGTTGGGGAAAAGTTCATGCACCTTTTTTCTTAATCACACAGAGAAAAGCCACTACAAGACACAACATCACTACAATAGAATTTTTAAATCTTACTTTGCTTTTTTCATCTTCCATTTTTGCAATTCTATTTTTCAAGACAATTTCCGTTCCATTGCCTTTAGCATCTTGTTGCTTTAAAGCCTTGAAAGAATAAAAAGAGAGGATGTGGGATTTCAAGGGAATAATTAATGTACAAATATGCTAAACAATATGCACTTTGTTTTGTTGTTTTTTGTCTGATGATACATATGGACTTTATCTACATATTGTAGATGCATACTGTTTGAAATAAAAGCTAACTCTGACATATACTAATCTGTGAATATCTCTGGTCCAAACATTGAACTAAATTTCACTGAAGATCTGTTCTTTTCTTTTATCAGAGGGTACCATCCACCATATTGTGTGGTACAGAGCAAAAAAGGTTGTATATTAAAAGAGGTCAGGAGTGACGGATTTCCCATATGCAAGGAGTCCCCTCCTTCAGCAACCATTCAACTTTATGACAATATTGAACAAATTGTAATTACGACTGGACTATGTATTTATGGCCATTGCAGTCATATGATCACAATTTGTGATCTTCCCTGCCAACTTCTCACAAGCAAAATCAATAGGGAACTCAGCAAGTAATTAGAAGTGAGGGTTATGTGACATCCTTGCTTAACATCTGACATTGTTCTCATTTAATAATGGCAACCAGGGCTGCCATTGTTAAGCAACATGGTGATATGGTTGTTGTTTTTTTTAATTTATGACTGTGTTACTTATTGATGAACTTCTGGTCTCTATTAGAAAGTGTTAAATGAGGACTATCTATGATGTTTGAATCTTTGCTTCAAAAACAGCCTATGCTTCATGCACAGAAATACAATTCTTTGTACTGAGGTATGAACTGCAAGGAATTGCACAGATATTGTTTCCATCAGAGGATGATAGCTAAAGTTAAATCAGACATTGAGGAAGTATCACTTGATGCCTACCATAAGAAAGTCCCTGTGGCTCCAGTTTTCTCTCATGAGCCTTTTTGCAACTATAAATGCTTTAGCTTTAACAGAAGCCCTCCTCAATTTCAGACCCAAGCCAGACAGAGAAGGCACTAACTCTTTCTTTCTCAGCTATTTGTACATTCAAAATCATACTTTTAATGCATTGCTCTTCTTTCCAAAACACAGAAGTGATATTCCTGAGGAAAATAACAGATGGAGAGATATATAATCTTGCCAATTGTGCAAAAGGTGTCCAACTCTGACATTCAGCTTTAAGCCACTTACCATTGTTATATACGCCACGGGGGAGAAAAACTATAAAATTGCCACATGATTTATGGTTCCACTTCATAGGTTTTTTAGATATTTAGTTAAACACTTTAAAAGTTTGGGGAGCTAGAAAAACCCAACTGGAAGAGCTATAAAGTATACAAGTTCTTACAATAATGTATTAAAATGTAATGCTCAGTTCTTGGTGACTTGCCAAGGAGGACAACCTGCAAGATAGTAATATAAGTTCTTTGTGTATAACTCTGCCCTGAAAAAACTTTAATACTCATATACACAGGTTGAACCAGCGGTGGGATTCACATACCTTTCCTACCAGTTCGCAAATGTGAGTGCACGTGCCGCGAATTTAGGGTGCTGGTTATCATCTCTCAAGTTCTACATGGCCTGACGCTAGGCTACTTGAAAGCTATCTGTTACATCCACCTGGCCTACCAGGATTAGAAGGCAAGGTATATTCCTCAACTGTTAGGGATGTACATCAAATAGGACACAAAAAAGGGTCTTCTCGGTGGTGACTCCTTCTCTATGGAACATCATTCCCCAGATGTACAATCAGCTCCACCTTGTTGCTTTTCCAATAGGCCCTGAAAGTATGACTTTGTCAGTGGGTCTGGGAACCATGAATGAAGATGGAACTAATTAAGTGATTGATCTGATTTTGTTGCTGCCACCATTAGGAGGGTATGGTTTTTATATTGGTTTTTTTTTAATGTTCTAAGCTGCCTGGAGTCAACTCTGTATGAGTTGGGTGACCATATAAATTTGTTTACTAAAAAAGAATTAAAACAGAAAAAAACCACAATGCAAGATAATGTCCAAATGCCATCTATGGTATTACCAAATATAATCACCATGTATAATTTGAAATATGTATTTCAAATAGATCATCTCAATCAAGGCAAATTTAAAAAGTACAGCAACATGTTCCCACTATAGTAAAAGGTAAAGGTAAAGTTTGTATGAAGAACATTAACAAAACATTCACTACCAAGCATATATATGTTTGATAAAAAATTTCATGTTTTTTTAAAAAAAGAACAAGGTGTAAAATCTTGTAAAAGTGCATATTTGGGTTTGCAAGATATAGTACGGTATTAAATTATACATTGAGTTCCTGGATCCAAAATAAGGAAAAGCCCAAAAGCAATGGAAAAAAATTGCTAGACATTGTGAGAATCTTCTCTGCAGAACTTAATCACTTTCATTTCCTCTTCGCTCTAATCAATCACAATCTTTTACAATCATTCGAGGTAATTTAAAAAACGAAGGCGAATACCAGGAAAAAAAATCTCTGACCCAGTAAGAGCACATGAAGTTGAAAAGCTATTACTTTTACTAAACTTAACATGTGTGGTAGCTTTCCCCTCCTCTCTTCTTTTTAATGTGACCTCTTGAGAGAAATCCACTTTTTTTTTTCAAAACTGAAAGCATCAATCTCAATTAATCCCTAGTGATTTATACTTCTCTATATAATCTGCAATTGCTTTTCAGAAAAATGCACCCAGGTCACTACATTTATTAAAGCAACCAAATATGATATTAAACTTTTCATAGACTCTGTGAGACACCTGAGTAAAGTCAATTGAAAATGACGGCCACTAATTGCCCAGACATTTAAATTAATTCCAAAATTATAAGCTATATATTTAAAAACCCTGGCCTCTGAAGTACAGGGGTGGAGCAAATTAACTACCTCTCCCATATGCACTTTATGCATTCTCTTCAAAGAAAAGGTGGGAAAGACTTTAATTTTCTGTTCTGAAGCAAACAATAGCTCAGTTTGCCTTCCCAGCACAGGCTCTTGTTCTCCTGAATGCGTTTTCATTCAAACACAGCTGATTATACGGCACCAGGAAACTGGCTACCCATTACATTACATTTACCCCTTCAAAAGAAAAGTATGCACTACTGGCTGTTAATAATACCTTCAATCGTTTAAATGTTAAATGTACCTGAAATTGTTTTAAGACAGCATCCCTTCAACTATTGTATAATGGGAACCAACACTCCTGGCTTCCAGCATGAGAAATATTTTTGTATAGAAGCAAAGTTACCAGATCTGGACTTGAAATTGCACTACATAGCAGCGGAGAGATTTTCGTTATTGCTGTGCTGTCAACTGGCAGTTTATTTGGATTTTGTGGTTGAAACCTGGGAGCCACACTTCATCAGTATCTTGTCAGTTTTGCATGACCTCTATTATGGGGGGAGGGGGGGCACGAAGGAAGTCACCCCTTTAAATAATTAACTCAGGCTAGATTACTAACATAAAGCTCTTTTGCGGTTTTAAACATATACCAAGGCCTTTATGCTTACTTCCTGCAGGTGCACAGACATGTGTCCCAGTTGGTCTTGGCGTCTTTCTACCAATTGCCTTTCTGATCGGATTTCTCGTTCGATCTCTTGGAGTCTTCTCTCCACCCTCTCTGATACCTATATAAGCAGGCAGATGTCAGAGAAGAAACGTTTGTTACAATGTTTAAAAAAAGCAAACATAAATGCTCCAAATTCATAACAAAGGAAAAGGAAAGTAAGTACCAAGTTCCAATTGCATATTTGATTTTATTCCAAACACTAACCGTATTATAAGATGTGCCTATTGTAGTAATATGAACCGGATAGTCCCCTTAACAAAATGAAACCAATATGGTTAACATTCTGGTTGGAATCTGTTTAACAGAAGATTCTCTTGCATTTTTTCACCAGCATAACAGGAAACAGGCTATCAGCAATTATTCCCTTTGCCCAGGTTTTACTCTGACCTCATAATTGGTCTACTAACTTTCAGCACAAAATGAGAAATAGCATGGAGAGACTTCAGATATAAGGAAATTGCTGCAAATCATTTTATTTTGCATTGTGCTACTGGATCATTGGAACCTCCTTACCTTAAATAAGATGGTTAGTTCAGCTAGTTTTGGTACTAGATAACAGAAGATCTTAAAATTATGAAACAAGACTTCTCCATTTCTATCTAGAAATGCAGAGTTTGAATCTGCAATGTTCTACAAGCAGTGAATATGCTGTGATTTAGTCTGTGATTTAGCCTGTTTTAAAAGCTACAGCTATACTTATTTATAATGAAACAGCCTTTATACCGCTAACTAACTGTCCATCAGTGGAAGAACACAATTTAGATATAACCTGAAATCTTACAATTAAGCTGCAGCTGCTCAAGCAATAAGTTTTTACTAAGAAAATATCTCTTGTCCACTGCTACCAATTAACTGTCCTCCCTATCACCATTTGCATTAATAATACAGTGGATATGAAAACCAAGAATAGATGGATTAGGCTATTCTAATTGTTTATACCAAGTTCTGCATTTGTTTACTTGAAGATCTAAGACTGAAAAATAATTTAAGCCAGAAGAAATCTTAGAAAACAAACCAAGCATAATATTTCTGTTTACTGGTGGAGCTTCATATCCTGCCTAGCACTTTGTCATTCCCCATATAATAATATTAAAACAAATTACTGTATGTAAAATAAAATGAAACCAGATATATAAGTTTGCACTTCAGTCTTTTTTTTTATTTCCACTGTTTTCCCTTTGGAAAATTACATCTATAGAGTCTGATGTTAAGGCATTGATGAGATTCTGATCTGCCTAAATTCAGAAAATTTATTACAACCATTTGCTTCGAAATTATATCCTGAGACATAGAAACTGGGTATTATTTTCATTTGCATTGCAACAGTGTGGAGTATGAAAGCAATAATCATCAATCAAAACATTGTTGCACCAGGTCCAGTAAAGGAGATTCCCATGCTAAAGCTAGGTTAAGCAGCTACTTCAGACACCAGGCTGAATCTGTATTCCAACATTCACATCTGGATTCTGTTAAATTAGCAGGAAGAGTCTTTTGATATTGGCAGGAATGTACATCTCCTCCCAGGGCTGCTAGCTGTGCACATGTAGAATTAGATCAGGGCAGTAATGTGAAAAGATTGTATTTCCATATATCAATGCCAGTATATTTCCATACATCAGTGCCAGTTTTTTTTAATTGTTATTAAAACTTTCCTGAATGACAAATGAAGAAATGAATTAGAATAACATCTAACTTTTAAATAATAAAATATGACTGAATGAATCAGGAATTTTATTTCAATGGCAATTTTTCCCTTCAATTTCCTAACTTTGTAAGATAGAGGGAGCACTCCTGTTTGAGAGGAGTTGATTTTTTCCCTTTATTTATTTGCAGACACTACCCTCTAGTGGCAAGTAACAATTAAATGTTTAACATGTCTTTAAACTTCCATTTGCACGAGTGTTTTTCAAAGCTCACTAGAAATGATATGCTGCTGCCTAGTCTACCCTGTTTCCTATATAAATTCATTTAAACATGAAAGTAAGTTTTTGTACAGTGGCACTCCTAGTGTTTAAACCTAATTTATATACTGCATGTTCTGCTGCTACTTGGTTTTAGTAAAACGTTTTATTACAAAAGATGCAAGATCAAAAGCATTTTTCTCGCTTTTCTTTTTGGGGAAAAAAGACATTTAAAAAATATCAATGTACCAAAGACTTAATTTTCAAACATTGAGAGAGGGGAGAGTTCACCTGTTCTGAAAAAGGATATGGTCTGCTCTCCCCTTAAGAAATCATCACTGGATCTCATAAAATTGAACTATTTTTGTCTAGTCTTCACCTTCCGATTTTAGAGTAGGTTATTAAGAAGATGATTGGCTTCTGTGGTAGCTCCAGAAGGCTCTGGAGTTAATGGCTTATATGGACCATTTTCACTCATGTTTTAAACTTGTTATAGCACTGTAATGTCACACTTATAATGTCATTCAGATCTAGAATGTGGGGAACACAGTCATTTTGCCCTCCATGACTCTTAGCAGCATTCAACGTCATGGATACTTCTGAACCATATAAGGAGAGGAGGAACACTGTTACTTATTCTTCTTCTCTCTTCAAGGCTGCTTCCAGTTGGTGATGGTGAGGAGAAAATCTAGCTTCCAATTCCTACTATTCAAGGTGCCCCAGAGTTTTATTCTCTTCTATTCAACATCTACATGAAGTTGGGATGGTCATTCATTTGCAGAGGCCGAGGTATCATCAGTATAGTATAGCCCTATTTAGCTCTCCACCCTGTGATAACCATGTCATGCCATTAAGGGCCTTTCCTAACGTCTGAAGGCTGTGGGGATTTGAATGTGGAAGAACATATTATATCTTAACCTTGGTAAAACCAAACAGCTGTAACTTTTGAGGCCTACTGATGCTGGAATTTTTATTTATTCTATTTTTATTTCTGAATAGAGTTGCACATCCCCTGGCAGAGTTGGCACACAATTTAGAGCCGTGATGGCGAACCTATGGCACACGTGCCAAAGGTGACATGCAGTGTCCTCTCGGTGGGCACACACTGTCACCAGCTGCTCTTCTGGTTTCCGGCACGCTAGCCAGCTAGTGTTTGTGGGTGCCAGAGCACCAGAAAATGCCCTGACAAACAGCCAAAAAAGGCTATTTTCCGGGCCGTTTTCAGGCCAAAAATGATCTGAAAACAGCCCCAAAAATGGCCTGTTTTGGGAGCGTTTTTCAAACTGTTTTCCAGTGCTCCAGTGCCTGCAAAGACTAGCTGACCAGGACACATGCATGTGCATTCCGGTTTGGGCACTCGGTGCTGAAAGGTTCACCATCACTGATTTAGTGTCCCCTTGGTCTCAAACTCCTGATCCAAGGCTAGAGAGCCTTTTCAAGAAATCTATCTTGTGTGCCAATTGCACTCATTTCTCAATTGAGAGGTCCTGTTCATGAGAACACTATAGTCACCTCCCGATTATAGTAATGCATTGTGGCTGCCCTTGAAGAGCATTCAAAAGCTGCAGCTGATCTAGAATGCTGGGGCATCGGGAATTTGCCATAATATGCTTCTATAGCATGAGGGTTCTATGAATTCCACAGGCTTCCAGTTGGTTTCCAGGCACAATTCAAAGCCTTTTTGCAGATTGCTTGTTCCAATAGTTTCTGCTCACCCTACCAGATCTAACATGACAGGTATGTTCTGGTTCCCTTCTACAAATTAATATTATCTAACAGGATCTGGAAGGCATACCTTCTCTGTTGCAAAACCTGCCCTCTGCAATATCTCTCACCCCCTCCCCTAAAGATTCAGATAATCATTGCTCTGTTATAACTTTCCCTTAAAAATTGGAATCCGGATGTTATGTGAACTCAATTGGTTGATTTGTTGTTTATCAGTCTGCTAATACTTTGCAAGAGGGAATGGATTGTTTGAATCTTAAGCATATCGTATTATTTGTTAGAATTGTTCAAACTATTTTGGGTTGTTAATTGTGAAAGGTTTTAACTTGCTGTTAGTCTTTCACAGGCTCATTTGCAAGATAGCAGCCAGATAAATTGTTAAAATAAATTAAACTAAGATATTCATGAAGAAGATGCTAAACTCTGTCTGCCATCCTGTCATATATATATATATATATATATATATATATATATATATATATATGTATATATATGTATATATATG